GTATGTCATTAGATTTTATCTACAATTGCTGATTTACGTTTGATAGTGTATATACTAGTCATTATTTTTTTCCATTTTTCATTAGTTAATTAACAAATAGATTTACTCTTCTTAGTCATTGTAACATATTTTGTGAATAATCGATTTAGCATGTCTTAAGTATCATGATAAAGAGTTTTGTCTACTACTGCTGATTGATTTTTTAAAGTTTGTTTTTTTTTACAAATGTATTAAATTCATTGATATATTGTAGACCATATATGTTACGAAACTATAAAAAAAAAATTATATTGAGTATTAATTTCTTGTATTTGTCAATTTCCTCAAGTACACAAATATTCAAATTTCATTGTCTTTTTTATGTGATATTGGATTCAACTGCATGATTATGTTTGAAAATATGACTTGTGTTTGGCTAGTGATTCTTATCCTACCATGTAATCATTTCATCAGAATCTTTACGTCAAATGAAGAGGCTTCTCTAAATTAATATTTAGTATATGCAGTTTACCAGAAGTCTATAAAAGAGATTCCTAATGATAGCACAAATCACACTTTTAATCTAACTGTTCAGTAATTTAGCTTACTAGTAATTCCGTCCTTTCTTAGACATTTCTGCCATTTTACTAAAGAACTTTGAGAATGTGTTTATAAAGCATATGATCTCTTGCGCTGAGACCCTGCCACTTTACTCATTTTCATTTCTGTGACTAGAGGTTTTCTGACCTTATATGCAAAGTGAATTCTCATTTAATATTCATATCTAATTTGCCTCTTCCCCTTTTTGGTTATTTCATGTAATATAAAGAAAAACACAGGCCAATTCCATTGTTTCTGGTAACCCTCGATGATTGTACACACTATAAAACTATGTAAGCTATAATGTAATTTCACTACATTTGGCAGGTTAAAACACCACTACAAGAATAGCCAATATCTTAATAGAATGACCTTTATTTGTTTAAGAAGTGTATAAAACTTGTAATAAAAGCTTATGTTGAAATTATTACCCAACTGTTAAAATGATGAAAAGGATTTTGTAGGTGGCATTACAGATCTACTTTTTTTTATAAAGGGTAGTATAAAATTTAACATCTGTGTTTTTTCCCTGCTTTTACCTTTACTGTATTGTTGACAGCTAGTTCACTATAATATTTCACTGCAATGCAATTTCTCCTCACTCCATATCCATAAGAATTATTCTCACTTTTTCCTCCTAGCAGGCACAAATGTTTTATGATACCACAGAGTTAAATAGAGATACTAGTGGACATAATGTTAATTGGGCAAATATGACACTAGCCTGCTTTTCTCAAATCAGCAAGTTTTCAATGCTGTTATCTTTACCCAGTCAAAGTTCCATATGCTGAATCCAATTCAGTGTGTATCCAATTCCTTGTTTTATCCTTTCTTTCTTCTTTATTTTTTGTAGCCCAAACACAGTGCCTTTGATAATAACCTTGAAAATCATATTGTTAGTTCAATCTATTCCTTTGATGAAAGTTTCACGGCACAAACAAACAAACAAAAAAAAAATGCTTCACATGCACCATCAGGGTATCTCCGATTATGAAGGCCAAGTTATATGAAAGCTCTTTATTGATTTCAACTTTGATTCAATATTTTCCTTCTTCCAAAAAAAGACAAATTACAATTGAGTGATATTTCATGATTGTGTGTTTAATACTGGTAAGACTTGATTAGCAGTCAAGATATGTGCAACAAAAAGATGTTCACAATATTTTCCATTAAAAATAGCAAAAGCTGGATTATACACTCTTCTTTGATCTCAGTTACAGTAACTGAAATAGCTACCAGTCACCTCAAGTTCAGTTAATAAGGGATCTTTTGACTTGAGAAACCCGTATTAGCTAAATAACGTCATTTATCAGGGAATCGTAAAGCAGAGGACCCCTTTGACACTCAAAACCATTTGTTGCAACATGAAGCTACCTACAAGGACATTTGTTCCAATTATGATCCTTTCAACTGCAAACACTTTATCACTCTCATGATACATTGTCTCAGCTGATCATCACTTCCAAATACAGAGGTAATATAGCAAATTGTTCAAGTCTTGCATCTACCTGTAAAATAAGATTATTTGAAGAAAAAAAGTACTGCTTGCCAATACGGACATATTCCTTGAACCTAAGGAGACTTCTACTTGAATATGAAGTGTGTCTATTTATCACTGGTCACTTAAACTATCCATTAACATTTTACCATTGGTGTAATACTCACCAACACAACTGAGAGGTCTTTAAAGTTTTGCCATCTAATGCCTGGGAGAAATGATGGGTATGGAATGGAAATTGTCTACGGTTTAAAAATCAATTAAAATTTCAAAATAGGAAAAGGAGCCTTATCCACTAAAGCAGGATAAGTATTTGTGTATATATAAAAAAAAAGGTTTAATAAAATGGTCCCATTTGTTTTCTTTAAAAAAAACACACAATCAGCACAGAACTAAATGGGGAGAAAATCATTTATTTACTTGTGTGTGTGTGTGTGTGTGTGTGTGTGTGTGTGTGTGTGTGTGTGTGTGTGTGTGTGTGTGTGTGTGTGTGTGTGTGTGTGTGTGTGTGATTGTGTGTGTGTGATTGTGTGTGTGATTGTGTGTGATTGTGTGTGATTGTGTGTGATTGTGTGTGTGTGATTGTGTGTGATTGTGTGTGATTGTGTGTGATTGTGTGTGATTGTGTGTGATTGTGTGTGATTGTGTGTGATTGTGTGTGATTGTGTGTGATTGTGTGTGTGTGTGTGTGTGTGTGTGTGTGTGTGTGTGTGTGTGTGTGTGTGTGTGTGTGTGTGTGTGTGTGTGTGTGTGTGTGTGTGTGTGTGTGTGTGTGTGTGTGTGTGTGTGTGTGTGGTGACAGAAGTCTATGTTTGGTATATTTGCACAAGGTACATGGAAAAGGGAAGTGTGGGGGTGTGGGTGTTCCAGGGAGTGGGAGTGTGGGTGTTTCAGGGAGTGTAGGAGTGTGGGGGTGTGGGTGTTCGGGGGAGTGGGTGTGTGGGTGTGATTATGAGGTGTGGGTGTGTGAACCATGCAACTGTGAGGGTTTTAACAAGTTTTTTGTATATGTGTATGTACTGCTCTACTCTCTAACAACATTATGAGTACACAACTTAAAAACAAAAACAAAACAAAACAAAAAAAAAAAGTTAATTTTTTTTTGTGGGTGATGGGTTAAAGAAGTACATTGAGACATGATATCCCGTGTGTTATTTAAAAAATAAAGATGATAAAAAGCACTCAAAATGAAATGGAAATGTACAGTATGTGACTTCTGTTAATCTAATTTGTCTTTTCTCCTCCGTCTGTAGAAGCACTTCGTCTTTTTACTTTTGGTTAGAGTTTCTCCTCGTTTATGTTAGGCCAAAGGCATACTATTACCTATTATACCTAATTTCCAAGCTACGGTACTTTCAATTTCTTAAAAATCATCAAAGAGAAAAAGAAATAAACAAGAAAAAAAAATTTAAAGTTAGCAACTTAATATGTTAATTCCTATTCCCTTATTCCAAAAGTACAATGGACGTTGCACTAAAATGTGATTGCAATAAACAAACAAACAAACACTTATGCCACATCCCTTTCATTAGGTATTTTATTTACCGATCTATTTTTTTCAAAAGAATTTATTTTGCCTGGTTAGTTGGTTACACATATTATCTCTGCTTCATATCAGTCAATTTTCTCTTGCCTTTATTAAATTGTTGTCCAATAATCCATTTCAATTAACTGGAATAACAACAGAAAACACGTCTTCAAAATAAATACGAGAGATTCATAACCCTAAAGGAAAATTAAGACAATATTCTAAAACGTAAAACTAATCAGAGGTGTACAATCATTTTTCAATCTGAATAATCCAATTCACGTTTTTTTGTTTTATTTTTCCAAACTCAGGTCTGGTTTAGTTCAACCGAAGACTTTTATATCTCCTTTTACCATTTAGGTGATGATGTCTTACAATTAGGTTAATATAGGATTTTTTTTTTTTTTTTTTTTTTTTTTTTTTTGGCATTTCAATTTATCAATATAAATTAATATCTAATATTAATGTGCAAGCTTTTAAACATCTGTCTGTACATTTTATACACATGACACAAAATATATATATATATCTCATCTAAATATATCATTCTTACATGCAAGAGGCACTGGTCAGTTCCATGGCCATTCACCAAAGGAAACACAACTATAACTTGATCAAATCTTATCCTCCGCTGTGCTTGCGGCATGCACTGCTCACACCCAAAACACACACACACTTGCCGATCCCGTCTGCGTCTCCCACATGCTACACTATGCTCGGAGAACCAGGTTTTTACGGCACACCTGTACAGGAACAAGTCCTTTTACCTTTGCTTGGGAAGAGTTTTGAAAAAGGGAAAAAACAATCGTTCTAACTAGTTTCTTTCAACTCCTTTGGCCATTTGTACAAATGAAATACTGAATAGATGATATGCAAAATTCCTTATTACAAAGAACATCATCTAATATAATTCTTGCTGCATCCAAGAAACTTGTAGCCACATGTGCTCCAACATGAGGCAGTTTCTTTACTAAGTTTTCCGCTCCATGCGCGCTATCAAACCATCGCCAAAAGGAAGAATATACCAAAATATTTCTCTAAATAACTATTAACAATCACTACTTCATGAACAATGTATCAACACCATAAAAATCTTCATTTCTTTCCTTTTGTTTCTCTTCCTTCTTTTTTTTGTGGAGAGGAGTAAACTTGTACTAAATCTAGGAGTGTTTCTGGAAGTGATCTTTCTTCTGTTTAATTTCTCTCTTTTTTTTTCAGAAAAATAGATAACAAAAGATGACTTCATCAGATAATTTGCAACTTGAATGGAGCAACGCACTCGCTTCACCTGGAAGATCTCTCATCAACACACACAAGGCAAGATTTATACATATCAGCATCATAACAAGGGAATCCGTCACACTTCAAATTACACTATACATATATTCCATTTCCCAATCAAAGGTCTGCTTTGGCCACCTCTCCTCAAGTCACCTCAGCATTTCCTTACAATGCTAATCATCTCTTCATCTCCAGATACCTGAATTATATGAGGAAAAATATAAATCTCCAGACAGGATTCCAAACTTTCATCCAGATGCTGGCAACCACAGTCTTATTTGTCTAGTAAGCTGACTATCTCCAGCCTAATGGAACTAACATAGGCAACAAATGAATATTAGTGCATGGTGTCCATTACACATCATTCATATGCATCATATGAGCACAGCAGTAAACCTGACATGCAGACTTCACATCTGGAAATGGCGCGAGAAGGATGTAGGTTTATTTCGGGTATGTAAAACAGATTATGGAATCTTGTATGGCATCACACTTTGTCATGTAGGTGAGCTAGCTCAGTTCTCTATGGAACTCAGTGCTCAACGGGCTGGGCCTTGGCAGCCTTCATGCAGCATTCTATCTGCCATTTGTTGCAGCATCTTTGGCCTGTCTTCGCTTCTGCACTTGGCGCTGGTGTTCCCTCTGTAGGTCATCTTCACTCAGGTCCAGCCTTTGCATCTGCAGAAGTAAATTCCAAAGGCTTTAGAATAATGCTGATATAAAATGTCAAGTACCTGATTTTGTTTTACATATTCTCCAACAATGTATACCATACCCACATAAAGTTCTCATTAGTTAAGACTGATGATTTTTACAGCAATACAATCATTCTTGTACCCTTTCTAAACATACACAATCTTAACCCATTCGCGCTGAGTGTCACGTATACGTGACATGCCCACTGTGAGTTTACTTGTTTAATTGTTTTCACACATAGATGGCTACACTTGTACTTGTACTGCCTGTCTCGCCTGTTTACCCTTTTCTTTAATTTACAAAAATATTTTACTTATATTATCTTATCTTGCTGTTACCAATGTTTATAGCATTAGAGTAATTATGATGTTTATAATAAAAATAACCATCGATATTCATAGCACTAGTACAAATACATTTTCCCGTCAATTCAAGTAAAGGTGAAATCAGGTAAGGCAGAGCCATCTAGTGTAGAGACATTTCACAAAAAAATATAAAAAATGAGCACAGCATTTTCCCCATTTTTTGTTCATTTTTACCCGGCGCAAATGGGTTAAAGCTTCCTCTTCTACTAATTTTTACCCAACTTAATTTCAAACCCTCACTCTCCCACCCTCCCTCTCTTTCAGGAAATCGGATCAGCGTACCTGGAATAAGAGGAAACCTTCCGCCATAACACCATGCTCAATGTTGCGCAGGGCCTGGAGTGTCTCATACATCCCAGGGCAACGCTTGAGTACCTGCGATCTCAGTCCATACTTCAGCAGCACCAAACCAACTCTGAATAACACCTTGACGCCTGTTTGGGTGATGAAAAAAAGATTCATATTTTAAGCTTGGTTACTTATTGATCAAAATGGCTTTTAATCCTAATGCTATCTACGCTTCAAACTTCTCTGGCAGTGAACACAACACTAAACTGCAATGAAAGTTCACTTAGATGTCTATCACTGCACAGCACCCATGATCTTAAAGTAGAAAGCTACCTACCCTCGCAAAATATCATGTCCCACACTCGCAGGACAGATGCCCAGGGTAACGTCCGTGAGAAGAGGCACATGAACCACTCTGTCATGTAGAGTACTGGCTCAATTTTGTGTTTTTTCTGAAATTGAAAAATCAGTTTTGTTAAAAGAAAAATCCTGATAATCATTGTTCTAATTATAATTCACGTTGGGTTTTCTTTGCTCTACATACTAATATAATAGACATGGTGTGGCCAAGAAGTATCAGTATAAACATTCATATGAAATATTACTAATTATTAAGAGAAACTATACATGAAAATCCGTAACTATATATATAAATATAATTTTCATAAGCCTACTTTCTCACTTGTTTATTAACTCATATACAACATAAACAGCAATTAACACATTTTAATACTCTGAAGTTTAAAGAACAAACTTAATAGCAATTATAATTAATTATATAACCAATTTAAAATTGCTTCTCTGTCCACACAAGTTGAGAAATACTTACAAGGTGTTTATAGGCCGAGGGTGAAGCTTTCTTCAAGAGTTTGTACAGGATATCACCATCGATCTGAATGGCTTCCTGAAAATGATATAATGAGTTTGAAGAATAATGTTCAATGTGTTTGAAGATCAGTAAACTTCTCTCTCCTTCTCCCATTTTTTTTCTTGGGGTGCAAGAAAGTAAATTATGAACAGCATAACTAAAAATAAACGATATGAAAACTAAACAGTTACCAATGACTAGGCAGAAAATATTAGTCATGCCAGCAAAATAATATATACATATTTATATTTAACAAAACTCATTTTCAAATACACATAAATGTGCTTCTCCAACCAATATACTGTCTCAAAACAAAACAAAAATTCCTAAGAAAGAAAAAATAATCAACCAGCTTTATGCCCCAAAAAAACTTCCTCATCAACAGCTAATGAAAAGG